AACAATAGGATTCCTTGTCCTTTGCCTTGCGTTTCCTTCGGGCTCGTTTGGTCTTGCGCTTCTTGATCTTCAACTTAGCCCGTGGACCACATCCTCTTGGCCAGTCCCGTACGCACGATGGTTGATAAATCGGACTAGATGGCTCCTCGAACATGTTCTCCAACCAAATATCGAGACCACCGTCATCCTCCTTGTCGGACTCGCCGGGGTTGATGACCACTTCCGTATCAGGCTGTCCCACATTGGAGCTGTGGGCCTGTCCCACATGGCTCCAATGTGGGACAGCCCCACATGGAGATGCCCCATTGGTTGTTGGCTCCGTAACGAAGCCAACAATTGGCTCCTTAGCATTACTGAGAAAATATATAAGGAGTTTTGTCGTTAAAAATGCTCTCATCCTATCATTTTTTGTAATTTGCAATCCCATCAATCAGCAAATCTACAGAGTGCGCCTACCAGCAGCTAATAATCCACGTGGTGCAATATACAACTAGTTTTAGATGGGGCGACGTGAGCCACTACTTCCATTCACACTCCATAAACTCAATTCCCACAATTTTTTTGCATTGCAGTCCCTTATATAATTAAGTCTTAAGGTTATTTGCTCTTCATATCAATTTCAATTTATCTGACCCCCCTTCCTTCCTGCAAAAGTGCAAACTATCTTCTTCATCCAAGCTAGGTTTGCAAAATCAGCGAAGCACACATCACTGGTATGTGTCCATCCATCGTTTCCTACTGTCATGCTCGACTTTTCATGATTATTTACCTTGATTATTTGTGTAGTTTTATCTCATGGAGTGGAATCTTGTAACCGTTGATGAAGATCTTGATGTGCCCAACAACGGCATTTCCGAGAGTTTTTCATCCCACGATATTTGGAGTTCATGGGATAGAATAGTGGGAAGCTTCAACTCCCCAAAGAAACTCACCATGTTGGGGGTGGATGATTGTACTTTAACTGAACCCATGTTCTCTAGTGATGTTGAACAATATAGTTTCCTGAGTGCTTCTTGTCAGCAAAGTTCTTGTCCTCACGAGCATTCAGATGTTCAACTCGATGATGATCTTCTCATTCTTGGTGACACGGACGACAATTCATTACCGTACCTTCCGGGCCTTAAGAATACATCGTTCCATGCATTTGCATCCATGTAGTTTAGATTATTTCAAAAATTCCAATGGTGGAGGTAACAAGTTATTCTCTTTTCGTTCTTGTGATACTCGTGTGTTGTGACTTGTGAAAATAGTTTTGTATTTAGCACACTCTGGCTAATAATTAGACAAATTGAGTTAGTTGGCAATGGAAATTTAATCAGATTTTCAGTCTTACAACTAGACTTGTGAACAAAAGAAATATTCTACTACCACTACTATACAATACCATTCAATATGAGAACGTATTTTTGGGAAAGTAAATTCTCGATTTCATTGCATACCAGCATCATAATTATCTGGTTAATCATGTTATCTTTTTCGTCCTCTGCGGATGGTGCATAAATTATTTGACAGAGTTGAATTCGTCTGTAATCTATTTCTGCAGCCGTTTAATGTTCGATGAGGATGGCTCTATTCAGAACTGTATCAGTGGTTTTGAGAATGCCAGCCAATCTCTACCAGCAAAGGTGAGATCAATTATGCTTGATGGTTAGTGAGCAGCTAGCTAGGCTGATAGTTCTTATTTATCGTTATTACAAGTTTGATGAATGGGTCAAGATCGCATAATATTCATTACGAACCAACCTATTCATTACCTGTTCCAGTGCCCATCTGTTAATATTGATCACTTTTTTTTAAGGAACTGAAATTTGGGATCTGCATCTCAGAAGAACACTTTAATCTGCCCGAAGATATGAGTGAGGAGGACATGTCTGTGTTGCTGGATTTACAGAGGTTGACTGTCCAGGTACTTTAAACAACTGAGTACCTTTGAATGAGGTGTTGATGTTTTTTGAACTGCTTAAAGGTGCTTGCCGGTTTTGATCCCTTATTAATTATCCGGAATCTGTAGTTGGCGAAGAAGACAAGAATCTGCTTTCGTGATTCTTTCTATCGCCTCGCGGAAAATTCTAGGCACGACTCTGATCGAACTCAAAATAGTAAAGAAACCACAGAGAAGTGCGGACCAGCCACAGTTAATAATGGATCATTGAGGTAATTTGTTATTTTTTTGTTTATCCTGTAGTGTTTAACCAGTGTGCTACCTAGAGCTCACATCCTTGGATGTCTACAATTTATGTATTTTACCTTAAATTTAGATGCATAATTAATAAACACTGCAATTCCAAATTTTGTATGAGTAGGGTGAGCATGGGAAATGGAGAAAATCGAACATTCCAAAAATCGAACTGAACCAAAAAATAGCCATTATCTGGTTGACTTTTTCCAAACTGAAGAAATAAACGGTACGATTCTAAAGATTTTATAAATATTCGTATGAGAAAAATGATTGAAATGTACAATTTAAAATCTATGTATCTCCCACCCGAAACGGATCTGAAGGTTTTGATAGTTCCAACTCTCAAAACCAAACCGAATTGAAATATAAAAAAAGCATAACCAAATTGTTCTAACATTTGGTTCGGTTCCTGAGATTTCTAAATCTCCAATCCGAAACTGACCCACACTTACCCCTAATTAGGAGCATTGCTAGCATCTCCGTGACTTAATGCCACTGTATTTATGAAGTAATTAAAAGATTTGGTTATGTGTATATATTCATTGCATGAGAAAACTATTATTATTATTATTGGTGCATTTTTCACCGTCGTTGTAAATGTACATTAGATTGAAAAAAATTAGCTATCTTTAAATACAGGTCACCAGAATCCAAAGCCAAAAATTCGAACACAAATGCTATTGACAGAACAGTTGCAACTCTCATGTTCAATACCGTGAAATGTTGCAATGTTGATGCAACCCGAATACCCGATCTTATTGCTGCAAGTGAACATCATGGCAATTTCAATGTTTATTCTGTCTAAAATGTGGAGAAATTTACTGTAATTTAGACATAGTTGAGTGTTATAGCTACTTATGCCTTTTGCAGCTGGTTAGAAAGAGATATATATGCCGTTCTTGCTTCAGTATTTATTGCTAGCAATGTAGTAAGCTTTGTATAGGCTTCTTTTTTTTTTGGTTGGTTGTGATAAAAACTTGGAGTCTCCAATTTCATGTCTCAAGTTACTGCTTTGCCCTTAGAGTAAACCTCTGTTTGAAATTTGCCAATTGAATGATTTAACAACTACTTTTTGTGTTGAAAATCCCTTGACAATCTCATGAAGCATTTCCGCTGCAAATTTGTTGGTAATCCATTTGGAAAATTCCCAATAGATTGTATTTTCTGTGAGCAAAAATTAATAACAAGCCATATAGCAACAAGAAAATTTGTTGATAATCCGTTGGCATTCCGTTGGGAAATTTGATTACCAACGGATAATTTCATTAGTAAAACTCATATTTCTTGTAGTGTGAAGTGCTTGTGAAATTAACCCGTCTACTATTAACTTATGTTTGGTAGACAAATAAGTTAGCTTATACCTTATTCGGTTAGCTTATAAGCTTTCAATATTTAAATAAGCTTCGTTTGGTACGACAATTTTTTTTTAAAAAAATCGAGTTTATCTCATAAGCTCCTTGAAAGTTTATTTCAACTAGTTTATCAGTTAATTTTATTAGACACTTTTATCATACTAGTAAAGTGCACGTGCGATGCACGTGGTGTCGAATGATTTTCGCGGAGTAAGTTTGTAAAATAAATTAATTTATTTATTAGACATATCATTGCATAAATGAACTAAAATATAGAAAAAAATGAACTCATATGTGATTTTTTTTTATTTATTTAGAATTAAAATAATGATGTCCTCATAAAAATAGTGAAATAACGTTTTACAAACCCCCAACAAAAATATATATATAAAAACAAATTCCTAATAAAAAATACAGAGATTTTCTTTCATTTTAGTTTTAACGTTCTCATAAGAACATTCATAGTCGTTGGAGTCCAATACATCAATACTATTGCAAAATTCCTCTTAATTAATTTGGCAAAACGCCAATTTTATTCAAACACTTAAGAAACATTCTGACCCAAAATATAGTCAAACTTCATGATCGTATGATCTTTATAACAAGGTGCTTCTACTAACAAAGATAAATATCTCTATGAAATAACTAACGGTGTCACTAAAATTGCTGATATTTTTTATGACTGTATAAACTACTACATTCCTCTATCTCTAGATATATTGGTGTCTACCCCATTGATGCATTGCCCCACGAGGTGGGAATGAATTTTATATCCAAATAAAAGTTGACTTTCCAAAATCTTGGTTACATGTACTTCTCACGAGGTGCTAAATTATTTTTTGAAATCATCATACATTACCTGAAAGTACCTCTAAAGTAATTGCACATATGTTCAAGCACAATACACCAATGAGATTATAAATATTTCTATAAAAAGTGACAACTTAATTCTAACATTCTAAATTGTTTTGATACTCCTACATTTCATTTTCAGTGTTATTTATCTAGAATATAGACGAACAATATAATCTATTTTTTGCAATGATAAAACAAAACAATGAGAAAATATTGAGAAGCATATCATTTGTTAAAATATTTGACAACAGAAGAATTAGAATTCCATTATATGACGATACTTTTAGTCATTTGTAAAATTTATTATTATGGAGTCATGATTAAAATATACATCATGTATACAAATTTTTAGATTTAATTATTTAAAATTGAAAATAAATAATATATAATCATTATTTATGAGAGCCAATTTCTTACAAAATCCATATATTTAAACGCTAGCAACAAAAAAATAGTAATTTTAAAAGACTTTTTGTTTGTAAATATTGGTATTCATACTTTTCTAAGAAAATTAGCATGTTTTCTTTTTCTCATTGCATTACTATTATATTATTTGTTTCTTATACTATAGACAAATAATAGTTTATTTGCTAAGTAACTAAAGCTCATTTATACGTATTATGTTATTTTTTGTATGTGTTTTATTTAATGATGGTATCAAATTATCTTATTTATTAGGTTACAATTAATATAATCACATAATATTAAATGTAATTTAATATATTTGATAAAATTGTACTTTTTATACGAATTATTAGATTAAAAAGTTTTAGAATTTTTTTCCAATGTTTGATAAAATATTAATTAACTAAGT